AATTACTATAGATGGCTGACCCAAAGTCTTATGTAAAGATTTCAAATATGCCCTTGGACTTGACCTTTGTTTCAAGGTCAAACGGGCCAAAATTTTGTAACAATTCTCATTTTTTGCCAAAATAATTTTTGTGTAGATTTTCAAAAACTACTCAAACCTTACCTATAATGTTATGGGAAGGTGTAACACTTGGGGTCATCTTTCATCTTCGTGAGTTTCGGGTCAGTCAGTGCATTATCACGGGAGAATTAGCTATAAGTTGCCGAAACTGAAAACTCTCCAATTCTGGAACCGTTATTGCATAAGACCTCTTATTTGTTGCATGTAGTAGAGCTTATTTAGTGCAATACTGGAGGTGGAATCCTTTGTTTTTTTCTACATGGTTTAGGAGTTGCACTTAATCAAAAAATACATCACAATATCTATTAGTGAAAGTCAAGTGTGAAATACTCGAAAATTAGCAGAGATACGCCCAAAGTTACTTCTGATCTCGAATAGGAAGTAAGATATTGGCAGTGTTACTATGACCTGGAATCTCATCTTTGATCTACTTTTACCCATGAACTGCACTTTAAAAAGACTCTTATACCTCCAAAAGTGGCAGAGATATAACCATAGCTACTATTGAACTTGAATTGGATGTCACGTTTTCAATCTTACTGTGACCTTAAATTTGACCCTTGACCTCTCCCATGATCTGCACTTTTCAAACTTAAACTCTTATATTTTCCAGTAAACTTTGGATTGAAGGTCTTATTTCCACAATCTTACAGCAACCTGAGATTTGACATTTTACTTTTCCCATGATTTTGTTATAATGCTTATCAAGCACAACACTGGAGGTGGTGTCCTATTTTTTTCCTTAAGTATTCACTTACTCCTGCTGGTGGTACAATACCCAGAGGTGATACCTCTCTGATCCACTAGTTAATTTATGTAGACATCAAAAGTCTTTTTTTTTTTTTATGTATTTACTGAATAGCATAGCCTTAATTGCGCTTGCTTTTCTATTATTCTTGGAAAATGGGTGATTACTTCTAGAATTCCCAGAATATGTGGGTTGTTTGGTTCTCTTAATATGAGCTTAAATGTGTTTTTGTCAAGGGAAATAAGGAGATGCCATGCAGCTTTATGTATTACATATTTAGGTTCTTCATCACAATCTGTGGCTTTAGCTCATTGCAACATCATAAGTGACACTTCTCCGTCATGTTGTCACTGTCATCTTTGCTTGCCATCACCTTAGCCAACCTAATAACTGTCAAACCAAATGTTTGATTCACTTTAAATGTACTCAGTTTTATTTGGTAAAGACACAGGTGTAATTTAAAAACATTAAAATCAAATTATTTTAATTTTTATACATGGACAATGGTGTCTGAACATATCGCCATCACCTGTGTTTGTTCATATTGCAAGTTTTTTTTTGTTTTTTTTTTTTTTTACAAGTTACAATAATAGTTTAAACAATAATGACCTATGCAATCAATCTGAACAAAGTAATTTTCTTACAAAATCCTGTGAACATTGTAACTACAAAAACTGTTCAGAAAAATATTCTAAGATAATCACCAAAGCACCTGACCTCTTGGAAGTTGAAATAAGGACTCGGGTGTTTATGTGTTTCAACATGTTTCTTGGAAATTTCAGTAATTATCCTCAAACAGCACAATAAATATATATTTTGAATTTGAGGACAAGCTTTGAAACTTAGTGACCAATCATTTTTATGTACTAGAATTATTAATCCCAATTCAATGATCATACATTTGCTTTTTCAGAGAAACATTCTTGGTATTGACGTCAATATTGTTGAAATTTTGATGATTTTTTCCATTTTTAATACAACCCTCTATCTCACCTAGATTCCAATTTAACACCTAACTGTCTGGTACCTTTTCGGATAAGTTAAATTTAATCCAACAGGTAGTATCCTTAGGTTATGCAAATTTTGTAGTACTGTCTGACACGTACTGCTTGTGTGAAATTTATTCATTGCCATTTGTGACATGTTTTATATGGAATCGTGTCTAGGCATTTATAAGTTAAATTGAAAGACATACTTCTAATAATACATTACATATGCACTTATGATAATACTTACACAAACCATAACTTTTTGTAAGTAAGCTTTGTATTGTAGGAGTAAAAGAAATAAAGGATGGATTCACTCAAGATCAGGAAGTTTCTTTTTCATTGACTTTTGTTTTTATCAAACTCCATGGGAGGCTAAAAAAAGGTTCTCTGCGTGGCTGAAAAAATTGGAATTTAAGTACAAAGCCAGACACCATAAATTAACTTGTTTGAATTTTGTTGAACAGTACACTTTTCCAGGTCCAATCCCTGTTTACTCAAACTTACACAGCTGCCTTGTCAAGTGAAAACTGGGGTACCCCCTTTAACAGCTTAGGCCTTTTGTACTCTTCCACATGTTCATTTTTATCACTTTTTGCACCATTTGCTAGGTTGAGCAAGTAAAGGCAGGCCCAAATTAATGCTACACATTGGAATAGCCAAACCAAGAATGATGATGTGTCAAACAGCAGGTTGAGTACAAAATTCACCAGCATTGGCTGGTTGGAGAAGAGCTCAGTCTGTGCCTTATGATTAGTAGAAAGCTTTTCCCCTTAAATCTACTTAAATCTACTTAAATCTCAGCATTATATATTGGGGACTTACAAAAAAAGTGTACAAGGACAAAAAATGATAAAATTTGCTACTGTAGGATGTTTCTTTGACAGATAGCTTAGATATTTTCTATTTATACTTCCAAAAATAGATATAACATTTTTTTTTTACTCCAAAACACTTTCCAGGTATAAAATTTTTTTGAAATATGATTTTTCAATTAGCGTTTACCATCAAAAATGTCTGTTGTCAAAGACATTCGAAATCCTTGTAGTTATGCGTCATGAATTACAATATTGCTGTAACTGAACAATTATATTACCACAGTTCATGTTTTACAATAATATGTTACTTTTTGTCAATGTATGTAAGTTTTTTTTTTTTTTTTGAGAAAATATATTACAGTATGTGCTAATAGGCTACATGAGTTAAGGTCTATCACCATTTTTCTCATATGTTCTTTTTTAAATTGTTTGCGATAAAAAGAAGAGTGGCCTTTTTATTTTTTGACAACTTGGCTGTAGCTATTGCAACCATGAGTACGTGATTCCTCTCACACAAAGACCTCTCACGCAAAGACATATATTTTTCAAAACCACTTAAACACTCAGAGAAAGTACATCTCTGCCAAGGCAGTACAATTCTCATTACTAGTTATTTAATAATCAACACCAAAATCTCATTGATTCTAAGTAAGTCCATTCTTGACCTTTTCTGAAAAGTTTATCAAAATCCTTACTTAAATTTTTGAGTTATGCTGTACAGCGAAAACAATCTTTTTGGCAGAGGTTATTAATCATTTTTCAAGTTGATGGAATGACCTACAATTATAACTCGGAGGTGACCTAAGCAAGTTTGAAGTAAAATAATGTTTTGTTTTCCAGATATACCCATATTACAGTTGTAATACAGAAAAATACATCTGGTAAACCATATAATACATTTAGACTTTCAGATCTAATTTTTTTTTTCAAATTTATGCCTTCTAAGTGAATTTATAAAAAATTGAAGCTGTAGTCACCCAATCAGATGTGATTTTAGTACTCGCCCCTGTTTCACAAAGAAAAAGAAAAAAGAAAAGAAAGATAGTTTTAGGTGTCTTGGCTAAACAAACCCTAGCCCCTGTTTCATAAAATAATAATTATAATCAAAGATAACTATTTTAACGGAAAATTTTGGCCCATTTTTACAATTTAGCCATAGTGATTAAGAACAAGTTCAACAAATATTCAGAGAAAAAGCACAACTTCACCAAGGCATTCTGCTAAAATCTGTTAGAAGTGGGGCAGTAGGCTAAAATTTAGATCTTTTGGTTGGCTGCCTTAATTAGCAGCCGTTTGATGACTGGCAATCTTAACCTTCTTCAAAAATACAATACCACTCAAATACAACTTTGTCATGGTTGCAAGAGCTACAACTACTGTTGTCAAAAAAAATAATAAACAGGCTGGACTTCACCTACTAATAATTTGCCAATAGCCCAGCTAACAGAGGGAGGGGGTGCTTTTATTTGTAATATTATATATTACACACGGATATTGGAGAATGCCTTAAGAAATTGTGGAAATGAATTGATGTAACTTATCCCATATATGTAACTGCAATTGCAACAACCATACATCTGTTTAAATCAAATATAGAAATATAGAAAATATAGATTTTCAAATGATGCTGCCAGGCAGAAAAAAAAACAAGAGTATAAAAAATTCCTGGATATAAATGGCATAAATGATTTTATATATGATGATTTCTTATGACTTCTGATACTAAAATTTTCCAAAGATAACATTTACTGATGGTACTTATTATTGCAATACCAGTGTAGACGCTGTTTTGGATTATAGTGCAGGGGCATACGCATGTACAATGTTTCACTGAAAATTATAGTGGACCTTTGCACAGGTGATGGAGAAATGATCTTAGTACCTATAGAGCACAATCACATAAAGATGTCACTTCATTTGACATACATGAAGTCTAGTAGAACTGTTCTCCTGCAACACCTGCATATATAATGCAATACCCCTATTTGCTTTTAATTGAATTCTATTGTATCACAAAGTATGTTAAATCTGAAATTTGACATTTAAATGAAATTATGTACTTTTTGTGAAAAGAAGGCCTGCATGGTTGTCACATTTAAACGTTCTAAAGCTTTGCTGGTCTTTTATAGATTTGCAATGTTTTGTAGATAAGCAGACCACAAAGTTAAATAAGGATGCTGCCGCTGCTGCTGCTGCTGCTGATGTTTTTATAATTAGTGAATTTGATTAGCCGATACAGAGTTCAGGTTGAGTTGTGCTATTTTCTGTACATTTCCAATAAATCACTTCTCTCTGCCTACATAGCAATCTGTTCCCTTGTACCAAGACTGCAATCAGTTTCCACAAGCCAGCACTATGAATGATTAGACTGGTTCAAAGAAACGATTATCCTGTCAGATCAATATTGCTCAAAAATGGCGCATTTATTCACGTACATGTATGCAGCCCAATGTCGGGCACATATGCCATATTAAGCAGGGCATCGATTAATTGATTAACTGTTGTGTGCTTTCACAAAGAAGTCACTTTCAACTTATGCATAATTGATACCAGCAAGTGAGTTGGGACTGAGGGAGAAAGGTGGGGGCAGTGCGATGAAGCAATAAGCCATTTGCAGTGGAAGTATATGTGGTTTGGAGCCATATAACCCAATTTAAAGTGATTGCTTATACAAGCACTATGCAGCACTGCCTCTGTGGTGCTCTCTGTTCTAGCCGTCTCCTTGCGAACACTGAGGATCTCCTTAATGTTGGATGACTGAGATTATGACAAGTCGGCAGCTGATTTGACATCACAGCAACAGCAGCGATAGCTCTTCTGTATGTGTGGATTAGCCTTTCAGCTTGCCATCAGCACGGGTTGTCATTTACCATTGTGCTCTGTTGCCATGGAAGATTCACCCCTTTTTACATCTACCTGACTCCTTTCATCACAACATGACATACAATGACAATGACTACAATCCGGTGTAATGACATTTAGCATTTGAAGGCAGTGCTGTCATGTATACTCATAGTGATTTACCTACATCCTTTGGTGAGGTGGCTGGCAACTAGGCTCCAGTCACTGAAGGATTAATTGGATCTGATTCAATATATTTATACGCACATATAAGATCATTATTATTGGATTAATATGGGATTTAGCAGATACACTATCATGGGATGACAGAATCGGATTTGTTGAGATTTCAAGCTAGAGATTGCAGTTTTGAGGATGTAACTGCTGCAGATTATAGTGATAGTCAGCAGCAGCAACAACGCAATGAGTGTTCATACTTGCTAGAAGACCATATTCCTCTGGTATGCAGTTTTTACGTATCAATTCATATATATGTATATATACATACATACATACATGTACAAACTTGCATAATTTAGGGGGCATGTGGTTGATTATGTAGTGTAATGTATATGTCAAAGTTGCTCACCTGAAAGCAAGCACAGAAGTTCCAATGGATACTTAGTACTCGTCTAGCATGTGCAAACATAACAAAGCTTGGGAATTCTGAATGTTATTTGTGGCTATGAACAAATTTTCCATTAATTGTGTGAATAAGTGCTATAAACAGTTGTTAAAACTGGGGTCTAACTATCCATCTGCCTACATGTATGTATGTCTGATCGCCAAATTGTTTTTGTCATAATTTGTATATAGTTAATTCAGCAAAGGCAACCATGATTTCATTATAAATATCTCAGAATGACATTTGCAAATAACTTGGGGAGTCTTATGCTATATTGGAGAATCTGTTTTCAATTAGGCTAAAAAGAGGGAAATTTGATATATGCCTTGGTGGGCACAAATGCATACACAATGTAGTATTGCCTTCTACAAGCTTTCAAGGTATGCTTGTCACATAAAATCCTTGGAATAGAGTTAGCACAGGAAGTGCTGCAGAAATTGAGATTCCCTTAGTGTTTTATAGATATTAGAGCACTTGTCACTACCACAGCAGAAGATGAATCATTCTCTCACATACACAAAACTAAAGTCATCAATGAAGTTATCAGTGTGAAGATAAATTATTAATACAAGGATATTTCATAGAATAAGAATGTAATAAGCAGACTAGTTGTGTGCTATATATTTTTTGGCACATGACGAATTGAGCAATCAATAAATAGAAAAAATGAAGACCTGGCATCTCTGACCTAGAGCAAGGCATAAGAAATGCATACTAATACTGAAGTGGCCTTTCTTAGACGAAGTGTGCAGAAAGGAAAAAAATGTGTGCACCATCTTAACCTCAGTAACCTGAACTTAAGGGGATAACAACTGTTCGTTTTAACCAAAAAATGGATTAGAATAGATTATCTTGGATTTTATGTTGGCTTGAAGAATAAATTAGATGGTTTGAACAGTATTAAGAAGTTGTTGGTGCAAATGAATGTCCTAATGTCAAAAAAAAAAAAAAAGAAAAGAAAGAAACCCCCGTTTAAGGAACACCATTAGTGGAGTACGATCAAGATTGTTTGAGTAAACAAACAACTTAATTAAACCAAACCAAAAGGCTTCGTGTTAACTAAGCATTTGATTCCTAATCACTCTCTTCTTGTCAGACTTTGTAACAGACAGTATGGTATTGCAAACTATCATGCTTACTACTACTGCACTGCACAATGTATTTTTCATTTCTACCATCACTTGACCTCATTGATGTCAGATTCAGCTGATATTTAGGCTGTGCTCAGATGGTTTTAACCAAAAATTATTAGTGCTTATTTCATTTAGGAGACGCCCACAACTTGCCCACCCTACTACCTCAACCTCAGGGCTATAGAATCCCTCTTTTTCTGTGAAAGGGTTAGCAATATCTCTTCTATGGCTTTTACTCATTTACTTCACCAAAAAAAAAAATGAATCAATAATTTCCCTCATAAGTGTTTGATACTGATTCCCATTAGTATAATGATGTCTGTTTCATTGAAGTGAATTTGTAGATAGAGTTGGATAGATTCTCTGAAAGTAGGAACAGTCTAGTGGAACTGAATAGCAGTTTGCTAGTTATCATTTTATTATTTATTTATTTATTTATTTATTTATTTATTTATTTATTTATTTATTTGTTATTCTTTTTTTTTTTTTTTTAGGTAGTAAAGGATTTGAAACAAAATTGGACATTCTTTAGCTTGAATGTTTGACATTATTATTATTATTATTATTATTATTATTATTATATGTTCTTCAAAATTTTAATTTTGAAATTTTCAAAATTTTAATTTTGAAATTAAAATTTTACATTGATTTGCCAGAGGACATGTCACCTACACATGTGAAATATTGATACCTTGGCCATGGAACATAGTAGCCAGAAGCTGATAAAATAAGGAGGACTTCATCAAAAAAATGTATAAAACTTATAAATTCATACCTAAAGTCATTTGAATAAAGCAAACATTTATATGCTAGCATGCCCATAGCACACATTATGTAATGCTGAAACACTAGTCGTAGGCCCTACTTTTATTTCAAGTCAAAACTTTTTGTACACAACTTGTTTATTTTACAATCACTGAAAGTTGCACAGTGAGCTTTAGACTTATAGGAAAATGGTTCTTTACCTTTACCCCTTAATCACTTAAGTCTAGCAAAGCCAAAATTGATAGCAAAATTACAATTCAAAAACAATATTTTTTTTTTAGTTCATAGTTTGCAGTCTTGAAGCCAACCAGTAATGGAGACAAAGGCCGGTGAATTTTTTTCAATGGAAATGATAAAATTTAGAAAATAACATGTGAACAACAGTTTTATAGATCATTATTTTCACAACAAATTTTGATACTATGTACTTTGGTAATGAGAGGGGAATGGCTAAAATTTCTAGGAAAAAAATAGTTTTGCTGTTGCCTTTAACCCACAAAATACCTTGTGTACTTGTTTATTTGATTATCATTATGGCAGTTGAGTCTGAAGGTTCTACTTTAGATACCAGATGTTTTTATAAGACTACTTTGATGAGAATAAACTTGGTATAGAAAACCAGATGATCTGGCTGTGTAGTGAATTTATGAGATTCGAAGATAAGGCGTTGGCCTGTTTTCAGTTTTAAAATCATATTCGTCTGTACCAAGGATGTAATAAAATTGTCAGGACTGATCTCTCACTCCCCTTCATTTTCTCCCGATTAAACATGAACTGTATCTGCATAGCAGGTGATTTCTGATGCTGATTAATGGCTCTTTCCTCTTAAGGTTTTACTTCAAGCAGTGCTGACTGCACGATCTGCTTTCTGTGGCATACACAGGTTTGTTATCCTGAGGGTCCTTCACTAATATAAGTGAAATAATGATCATTTCCTAGTCACTGTGCCTGTTAGAAAGTAACTGCCATTTTCTTTTGATATTTAATGAGGACCTCAGAGAGGTATATTTTTAACATTGCACAAGAGTTTATTGTACTTGTGATATGTCAGCCTCATTTTATGTAATTACTTGTTTTCCAGGTATGCCTCTAAATGGACCATTTACGCTTTTCTATGTCAGCACCATGCTGCGCTGCATAGCTTAGCAAGCCCTCTAGAATGAGGAATGAGAAAAGGAAAATACAGTCATTGCTTCAATTTTGTAATTAACATAAGATGTATTTTGATATTTCTAGGAATCCATCCATCAGAACTCTGCCTCTCCCCCACTGACAGAGTGCCTTTCTCGTCCCTCCACTGCAGGATCGCTGTCAGAGATATGTCGAATATGTCACTGCGAGAGCGAGGTGGACAACCCCCTCATATCGCCATGTGTTTGCTCGGGGAGCCTGCGCTACGTGCACCAGGACTGCCTGCAACAGTGGATCAAAAGTGCCGATACAAAGTCATGTGAGCTCTGTAGATTTGAGTTTCGTATGACAACAAAGACAAAGCCTTTCAGAAAAGTAAGTGATGTTTTTGAAGCTGAAGGAGGAGTGTATTTAAGCCAAATGTAAGATTATGAGGGATTCATAATGCACACCTCCGCCATTTCTTTTATCTATCCCTGTAATATTTGGTTAAGGTCTTAAGTGGCATTGCTGAGTTGGGAAAGATGGATGCCAGTGGGTGCTGGATTAAAAAAAATGTTGATCTTCAAACTTTGCTAAAAAATTATGTTTTACATTAGCATTCCATAATATATCTGGCTGTGTTCTCTTCTCCTACAGTTTGCAATCACTTTTAATGAATTCTTATATAAGGGGCCATTCAAAATGAGTTGGAGTAAATACATTTGTGTTAAAAATTTGTACTCTTTATGGAATATTATTGTAGCCTTTCTTTAGATTTACTGGTATCTCTCAATCTCCTCATATTCATATCAATCACTGCTTTCCATTTCGTGTATGTGATCACAACTGTCATTTCACAACTCAGTGTAATGGTAATTTCAACATTTTGCTGGCTTTTCTGTAATGGGCTGCAGCTGACAGATAATGATTATCAGGATTTTGAATGTCACTTCTTTATCAAATGAATGTTTTGTACTAGGTTTACATATATTTGTTATTGTGTGAAAGTAAGCTGTGCTAGGATATTTCATTACCATTTATTGTGTGAGTGGGGATTAGGTTTAATAGAAGTAGGAGTATGGTATGAAGAGGAATATTTGAAATGTGTGTATCCTCTGATTGACTGAACAAATTAGTTATGGTACATTAAGTTTAAGGCGACAACTAGGCAGCTCTCCCTCTGAATTGATAAGAAACTGATTAAAAGTGACATTCGCCTGAAATAATGCCTTTGTTTTAAATTAGCTGAGATGGATTGTGATACTTTAAGTTCTCAATTAACAAATTGCAGGAATTTGGTTTTTCTTAAGCCTTGATCATTTCTCAGAAAAACTGGGATAACCAGAACTTAACTGGTGAAAAGAAAGCTCTTCGTAACACTGGGTTTTCTGCAACTATATTAAGTCTACAATGTGCAAGCATTCTTGATGTAAAGGCACAGTAAGTGTCTCTTACCCTGTTCACACTGCAGTCATTTATTCAAATAAATAACAAATTAGTTCCGGATTCAAATAATTGTAATAGTCTGGACGGGTGAGGATTTTTGTTAACCGTTTTCTCAAAATCCTGTTAGCAGTTATCACTTTTTAGGATTTTTCAGATGGCAGTGGGAACAGGGTATATGTATATAGTATTCCTGTGTCTAAGTCATCACTGTCACTTTCCAATCCTTCAAATTAGTCACATTTTTGTTTTCCTTCAGATTTATATACAGTTGTGTTTGGTAAAAGTTCAGATTATTTTTTTTTTTTCGCTTAGCAGTTGTATAGAAATTGTCTGTCTAGTACTGTCAACAGAAATTGTTATTTTTCCCTAAACAGCAGAGCAAAATGCATTTAGATCTGTGTTCGGGGACAAGTTTTAACTCTTAAGTATCCAAAAAATTTGGTATACTGAACCTAATGTGTTTACCCTGGTTCAGTAGGTGTTTACTGACCAATCAGTGAAATAACCACAAATGGTGTTCACTTGAATATTGCCATTTTCCCCAAATATTTTTCATAATTGTAACCATTTCTGACCAAAAGATCCCTGTATTTACACTTTTTGAGTCTTTATATATGTCAGCTTTTCTGGCTAGATATAAATTACTTTATAAAGATAGGATATCAGATGCCAAGGTGTGTTATGTTGCTTATATACACAATCCAATTAAATATGCTGTATGTTAATATGCCTTTCACTTTGCATCACAGATGCATGAATGAAAGTTTTCAGAATTATGCCTGATTTTCAGTCTTCATTTTGCCCTTATTTTCATATGATCTGAGTGCGATGAGAAATTGCAAGCTATGCTTTCAGGATTTTCAGTTTTTACACTTTTCACCAATGCAAATGATATTATGGTTTAGTTCATTCCTAAAGCTTCAGATTGTTTCCTTCTTTCTGTATTTCTTTCCTTCTTTTCTGTGTTTTTTCTTTAATTACAGTATATGGGAGCAAGTCGTTGATGATTCATGTATGAAGCTAATGTTAAAAATATTGATTTTCTCATGTGGCATTCATATCACACTGGTTACTGTTGCCATAGTTTAAGAGGAAGCTGTACCTTCTACTGAAAAAAAATCACAAATAAACTTTACCATTTGCGATAAAGATACAATTAACAAAGCCGCAGTATGAATTTGTTTCTTTAAAGCACACTCTTGAATCTTGAAGTACCAAAAGAGTTGAGAAAAAATGTACCAAATGATTTTTTGCGTTATTATTAAAGATGTAAAATTATCTTTTGTTTTAGTGGAGGAAGATGGAGATGACAACGATGGAAAGGAGGAAGATTATTTGCTCAGTTACATTCCATATCATTGCTATAACTTGTGTGATCTGGTCCCTTTACGTGCTCATAGACCGGACTACAGATGAGATTGAAAATGGTATGCTGGAGTGGCCATTTTGGACCAAACTGATTGTGGTCTTTATCGGCTTCACTGGTGGCCTCGTGTTCATGTATGTACAGTGCAAGATGTATGTGCAGCTGTGCAGACGATGGAAAGCGTATAACCGTGTCATTCACATACAGAACTGTCCACCGAATGCATCCGTGAAGTTCATCACTCCAGTGGAGAAAATTGACTCAGAGAGTTTGATACAGGAGACAGCGTTACTTTAATTTAATGTCATTACTGTTATAAAGATTGCCTTTCCCCACATTGCTGTGGTCTAGATATTTAGAAAATTTCTGGACTTAGACCCCGTTCCCATACCTAGATCAATCTAACAGTTATCAATCCATCTCTGAGGGGTTTCTTGCTAAATTGCTTTCAGGGTAAGCAGCTTAAACATCTGGCAAGCCTACTGAAGCTGCTTAAAGATAGTTAATTAGATAGTTGATTAACTGTAACAGCTTCAGTAAGCCTTCCAGACATCAGAGCCACTTTAGCTGAAAGCAATTTAGCGAGAAAGCCCTTGGAGAAGGATCGATCCTGTTAGATCGATCTAGTTATGGGAATGGGGTCTTAGGTACCAGCAGTGCTCTTTCAAAAAGTGCATGTAAGGTTATGAACAGTAAGACTTCTTCCAAGGACAGGGTTTCCATATGCCTTGTGTTAATTCTAAGGAATTGAGGGTGACAGTGATTGTAAAATATATCAGCTGTATGGGAATAATTTGATTCTGTAAAATCTGCTTGAGAGATTGCCCTTATCACAAAATACCCAGAGGGATTATTAGATTATCATATCACAGAACAACCTTATATTGGAAAACTATGTTGTTGTTGTTTTTCTATTAATTTAAGGACAGTGAATTAAAAAGACGATTTTATGTGTTGGTGAAAACCCAACGTAGTTATATTGCCTCCTGTCTCTGTAACACGTTAAAATTGTTGGTAAATATTTTGAAATGGAGGCCTTATAAACAGATTAGGCATAAGCAAACTAGAGCCTCAGATTTGTGAGTTGTGAGCACAAATGGCCAAATTAATGACTCGAACCACAAATTTAAGACCCCAACCTAAAATTAGTAGCCATGAGCACAGAGATAGGTTCCACAAACCATCAATCCAAATTGTTGGTGTGGTAATTTTATGTTGGGGTACTTAATTTATGGCTCGAGTCATTTGTGTTCCAAATCTAAGGCTTGTGTTAGCAAGCACAAGTTTAAGAGAGATGGAATGGGAATTATTTTCAGTGAAAGTGTTGTAAGTTGCATTATGAAGTATATTTGTACTGTTACATTTATAAGGGATAAAGGCACAACTGAAAATATGATCAATACAATTATGAATAATCTGCAGGTTGCAAGCAATGCAGTGGATTAGTAATAGGTTCAATTTTTATGGTAGAACAGATGTGTAGCATTCCAATATGTTCAACTGTTTAGTCCTGTTGACACCTTTGTATCAGTTTAAATGCCATAGTTTTTCTGAACAGTGAGATAACCCTTTGCTTTATTAGCTTCACATTAATAATATAAAGTTGCTGTTCATATTTTGCATATTGCTTACAGCTTAGTCACCATTTGTTCAAAAAGATGAGCTCTTAGTAATGCAATGCCCACGACTCAGATACATGTACTATAATTTACCATTCAGTGCAAAGTTAGATATATTATTTTAGCAAAAAAAAAAAAAAAAAAAAGAAAGAAAGAAAGAAAAAAATCCATGTCATGAAAGTAACTATATATATTTGGAAGCAAAGCACTGAAATGATAAGTTATAAATGTATGACATTTTGTTCGAGTCTTTCTGCCTTTGTGCACTAAAAGGGCAGTATTCTACTGTAATAATCTCATACTGACAGTGAAGTCTGGGGAGTGAATCTCATGGGTCATTGGCTTTTTTTTTTTTTTTTTTCTTGTGAAGAATAATTTTAAAAAATGAAATAAACTCTGGTTTTGGTTGCCAGGGCCCAGTGAATACTACAGTCTTGCCTAAGCAGACACTCACTGTACACACTTGGATGCTTGTGATGATTCAGTAATGACAGAATTTGATATTCAGTATGATTATTTATTTATTTATTTATTTATTTATTTTTGTCCTTTGGTTTTAGTTAAATTTTGGGTTGGAGTTTAAAAAGAAATAAAATTGGCAAAGTTAGGTTATGTGTACTTATCCTATATGTAAACTGTACAATGAAGAAAGGAGATGTTCCAAGCTGTGATATGTTCTATAAAAACAAGGACAGATAATCATTTTTAAAATCCGAGTAGGAATAAGATGGTGCTGTTAAGTACAGGTAGCAAAAAAAGTTGTTATCAATCTCATTTAATGTAATTATTTAACATAAAAAAGTATTTATGTATATGCATGCACTGTATTTGTAGCTCTAATGCAAAAGTATGCACAGTCTTAAATTGGCACAGCTGATGAAAAAACTGTCTTTATGTAAAATCTTTTATTCATGGAATGGGGTTTAAGTTAAATTAGGGATTATGGAAAACCAGTCCCTAGCATGTTGATATGATTATCTGAGGGATATGTAAATTTATATGTAAAAAGGAAATTGAATGTATTTCCAAATAGAGGGTCTGTTGTGGGTGTTCTCACAGTTTTTTTTTTAAGTTGATATATATTGATCCAATATGAAAAAGGACAAAGGATATTGATGAGCTTAGGATACAAAAAGCTTAACCTAGAAGATGCATATATTTCTTTGTACACTTGTTGCACAAAATTAAAATGATCCGTTTTTTAATCAAAACTTTACATCAGCTGAGAGACTTTTCATTTACTTTAACATTAATAAATGAATTATTATCATTGAATTGTTTTGAAAATGGGCCTTGTTAAGAAAAAGTGTAAAAAATCAATATTTTAGAACTTTATTGTGAGCTTTGCAGTTTTTTACATAGATGTAAAGCACCAGATAATTGTTGAAGACAGTTCTCCCGTTCTCAAGTCCCATGAACTGTCTCTTTATGTATATATCGTATTGAGCCCTAAAATGTAAAACTGGTGCTTTAAGTGTATTGATACAGCTATAAATCTGTCTGTGATGTTGCCAGTGGCTAGCGTAGTACGTGTATAAACGAGTCGCTACATTTCCTAGATTCTAGAATTGTGATTGTGAGGCATAGTTGTATGTTATTGGTTTTGACAGCAGTCACTTTGCTTTTATGTTCACAATGTCGTTGTTTATAAAACTAATTTTTTCCAGTAAATGCACCCTTTCTATTGAAAGTGGTTCATTGCTACACGTGTAGTTGGTGCACAGATATTTCGCACCGTGTACGTATTTGTTAACTTTAAGTGACAAAAGTTGTAATAAAAGCGGAAAATAAGGCGTTTGGTTTTATTGGTGCTTTTGTATTTCTTGCACTGCGTGCGGAAAGAATTTTTCCATGTGCTGGAAACGCGATGCACGGCTGTCTGGATTAGTGGGAAATTTCCTCTAAAGCTCCTCAATAAATTGCGTTTGGTGCGTACATATCTTTATTTTATTACAGCTAAAGCATTACGGACTGGCATTACAGGGTAACGATTTTAGAATTTACCAACATGCCACTCTTCCAAAGAATTAAGGTGTAAAACAGGCCCTAGATGTTTTAATGCTGTCCTGTCTCAAACCTACTCTCTAGCAGGGTCGTAGATTTCATCATGTGCGCTCATCTGACACAGTGCAAAATAGTCTCATTATTTAACTACACATATCTGTGATTATCTTGTGAAAAATCTGTGGCCCTGCTGGAGGGTATCTCAAACCAGGACGAGCCATGTGATGCTATAATTATTGAAACAAGTAGGCGTACTCCTAAAATGGGCGATATATTTTTCTTAGAATTAAACAGTGTTCAAATGGACTATAATTTCACGTGGATAGTCTTAAGTTTACGGCAAGATTGCATTAAAACCGAAGTGATCAGTACGGAGAGATTTGAGTATAAATACCCATGTATGGTTAGCTGAGAGACTGCGAATAAACTCTTGAAGCCCCAACTCGTTATTATAACAAGTAGTGAAGGGGCGAGAGAACGAAGACCGATCCCATTAGCTCTACCGACGCAGGGCTAAGGTGAACATCCAGACCATCGGCGTCCTCAGCAGCATCCACCAGAAAATATGTGCAGAGAATTCTTGTAACTTCGTGTAAAATCTTCAAAATCATCAAAATTATTTGAGGGAGCAGTACTGCAATAACACAGGCACTTACTTATCCCAAACATAGGTGGTTGCTTTAATTTTCCTTCTTATATACATGCACGACCAGGAAATATTTAATGCACTTGAAGAACATCCTTAAGAACAGTGGATCTACATATATGTACACAATTGAAAAAAGTAGAATAATTAGTTTTAAATATCTTCATTGAAATTACACGGCTTTTTAATATTTTTTCATTTTAACACATACATGTAATCTGTACAGAAGAATGAAGAATACATCAGTTATGTGACGAAGTCTTCACTACCACAATTTTCTATCGTGTTCGCAATGATGCCTTATTCGGTCTCGTGGGACAATCTTCGTATCATATCATTTCATATCTTAGCTTACACATTGAGTTATTGAATTCTGGCCAGAATATGACCCGAGGACTATACTAATACTAAGTGTTTACAAAAAGGCGTTAGGTCTTTTTTCAGTAACAAAAGAAAGGTTATCAATGTTGAGTGGTCTCTATGCTAAGTAGGTGAGAGAGTTTTACCTAAAGAGGTTGTGTACTTGTAAGGCATTATGTGTGGCATGTATTACATTTGAAACATATGTCACTAGCGGAATTATGTTCTTCGCCGAAAATTGAAAACTTTGATAACTAATGAATAACCAAAAAATCCATTTAACATTCCCTTGAGAGATAGGAAAGTGATCCTGATAAACGCGCCTCCTTTACCCTTGACAATGAAACTGGAATACAAGCGTGATCGGGATTATTTTGTAAAAGGGCCACCATACTGTACTTGTGGTAATATCCGTTTGTCTGAAAATTCATGAAATTTGAAAAAAAAATGCGAACACCTTACGCGCTGTTACGGATGCTTTTGCGTGGAGACATACACGCATTTCAAAGGGCCTTTCTTTGTCGTTTTCCTTTTCTATTATCTACGAGTGATGAAAATTTTCAATAATTTTGAGTAGGGGAGTGGAACCAAAATCAAAATCAGAATCAAATCAGAATCAAAATTGGTCACCTCTGAAGCACCTCCCGATTTTGGACTGCATCGAAAACCAACATCCCCAAGAGCAGCGTGGATACGCCTGGGACCGTAGTTCCTTCCCCATTACTTTGTACAGGTGACATTCGTCCCATATTATATCCCCAATACTTCGACTAGCCCTAACTTGTACTAATCATATGGGAGCCTGGACTTCCATTCCAAGGACTACCATTCCTGTCACAGCGGCACCTTGTCCAGGCACATATCCCTCCAATGTTTGCCGGATTGATCGGGGGAGATTCCTCGCGGGTAAAGGACTAATCTTTTAAGACATCGCGCTTCAAGCTAACAAATTTCATTTACTAAGCCTGTGTTCCTTGCATAGTGCGATGTGTCACAGGAATAGTGGTAGAGGCCGGTTTTGTATTGACTTTGATGTGTTCATGATAATATATTTGTTCGGAAATAATACATTGAGTCAACAGTATGATATCGAAATTAGTATGATCAACCAATAAAGAAATGAAATGTAAAAGATATAGTGACAGACTGTTTAAATACGTGCTGAAAGAAATGTTCTTTTACTGTAGCAAATATTTGATTTATTACGAAGGGGGTATGTTAACGTAATTAAAAGTAAGTCGAGTACTTTTTCCGTTTAGTGAAAAATAGAACTTTAAGTCGATATATCTAGTGTTTCAAACGCCCTGTCAAATTCAGAAAAAATATATCCTGCTCATATATCCGGTGCTCGAAGCTAAACCTCCAACTATATAGTATCTGTAAATCTCTGGGTGTTTTGTATTACGGAAAGAAAATGTTTACCTTTGAATTCATAAATACAAAACACCACGCTGGCCGCAGTAGACACATCCACACACAGCTCATCCACACAGCGCAGTACCATGAATTCAATTTTAACCTATTTTGTATTGAATCGTGATTTTGTTACTGATTTCACTTGTGCCCTTATTCTCCCATACTCATTTCCCTTTAAGTTAGGTGTTATGAATGGTGTCTTCAATGATATGTAATTGCTGGTATTCGTAAGGATACGATACAATCATTGACTAGCGACATATGGGGTATTACATGTATGTAAGACGAAAAACATATTTTCAATGATATGTAATACGAACAAAGCCTTATAGTTACAATTTCATGAGATTTCAAACAGACAGAAAATTTTCCAAATAATTTTGTCAGGTCTCCATTAATTTCTGATTCTTCCCAACCATCATCAAGTGATCCACAAACTCTGAAACGCTTTCTAAATGGATTTCTTTTTTTTTTAACTTTCCCCTTGGAAAAATGCTTCATGCGATCTTTTTAATTTTTTCCAGTATGACCTTTGAATGCAGTTTAGGTATGGGCCGTCTTATAAATGGACAAAGTCAAGTTTTGACTTAATGCAAAATTTAACGGACCCAATTTACCTTGAGAAATTATTGAAACAGTTATATTTACCTACCGTTGATGTATGAAAAATGTATAAAAGTGTTGACCCCTGTCAAAATTCCCCGTGTTATTGCAGAGAAGATATGCCCCAAAATGTTTACTAGTAAGAATCCAAAGCATGAGAGGGCTTAACAAATTTCGCATTATGGTACTGTAGTGAGCGTATGGGAATTTGACCTTGTAATGCACAGAAGCTTATTTGTCATTATTTTGCAATAGAAATGATAGCACAGGGATGCGATGTAATGAGTCAGGCAGTCGATAGCGGTTTTACCTTAATAACAAAAATGCTT